CAATGCAGGCACTGCAGGTCTGTGGAGTTCCTAGTTCAAGGGCGTAGGAGATGTAGGATACATGTTGTCAGAGACCCTTGTAGAAGGACAGGCCAGCGGCAGCGACAGCAAAGAAGCCTCGCAGAACCTGCGTGGTCGCGAGCTCAATCGGGAGAGACGGCTCATGATGGTCAAGCATGGTGCTTCATCTCTCGTGGTCCCTTAAGCAAGCGACATATTGTTATTGGGCGGACTCAGCAGTGATCCGAAACGCTTGTGCTAGGTGGAAAGATACCCGTTGCTCAGGCCAGGGATGAGTTGCACTAGTTTGCAGCGGTCCTATGTCAATCTCCGGAGCCAATCAAATCCAGGCACGCCGCCCGGCCCGGGACGAGAAGCCAGGTAGGGAGCCCAGTTTGCGAAGCCGCGCTAGCTGCAAGAAGATTCTTTTCAGAACGTGGATCAGCGTCTAGCACTCTTACAGTAAGACGGGGATCCGGCAGACCCTATTTTAGACCACAATTAATTACTTGCGCCTCGAACACCACGCCCCGCACCTGCCTGCCTCGAAGTACCGGCGGGTTCGCTGCGCCAGTGCTTTTCTTCAAGTGCTCGCGGATCCAGGATGACGGCGAAACTGTTTTCGGCCAAATACTGGCGCGTTTCGGCGAAATGGGCATTATGCTTCCACACCTTGACTGGCTTGCGAGACCCGGAATCGTTTCCCGAACTACTGCTGCAATTCACGGTTTGTCAATATGGCATTCGCTACACTGTGCGGGGCTCGACGGGACACGCCTGCCTCACGAACGCTGTGCGATCTGTCAAACATCCAGTGTAGAAGGAGAGGACATGGGGGGGTTGATTTGCAGCATCTGTTGTAAACGCGCCGGGCACGCGGCTCGATCAAACTCTCTGTACTCTTAACGGAAGAACTATTAAGAACCCCATCCCTTCGGACAAATGCTAATACAGATATAGTACCGAAACCAAGATTGCCATTCGAATGCGAATTTTTGGTAATAGCGACACTACACCTGCAAGCGAAAGTCGAGACTTATGTTGGCCTATCATCGAGAACCCCTAGTCCGCTAGTCAGTTAAGTCGAGCCAAAAGTCGGGCCGAATGCCCTTTCGCAAGTGACCGCAGAGTGCTGAAAGATCGACAGCACATGAGCTCAACTTGCACCAAACCCCCATGTAACCGCAGCTGTAGATAAGCGTTTGGACGTGTTTCCAAGACCAAACCAGTCGAAGCACGGCAGGGTACATCGACATATTGCCATTGTTGTCAGGGCGAGTTAGTTGACGCACAGCAGGGCGTAGAAATACGTTCAATTCGAGTCTGGACACTGATTCAGTGCAGTTACAGTAGCACCCGGGGTGCACGTACGAGCGACGGGGGGTTCTCAGAACACAACCCTTGATCTCAGCCCACGCCATGGCACGCCATTCAGCCCAAAGTAAAAGAACTCAGCCCAAAACCCCTTCCGACATGGCACAGAGGCTTCAGCCAAGTCTTTACTTGGAGGTCAGCACTCCTCTATACAACTCTTGGAGGAACAAGGATGTGTGCGTGTTTGGTCAGTTTCCCCATGGCACAAAGCCATGACAAGACTCCTTCCCCACCGAACCGCTGTCCCCAGAAGCCACGGTCCAATCGGAATGCAGCAGCTCGCTACAAACAACGTCATGGACACGGGTTCTTTCCCTAAGCTCTGACCTTCCGACATGCTGTCCTAGTGAGAGGCCTCGAGCGGAGACTCCGCTTGTGTTTGACCTGCAGTGAGAGTTGAACTCGAAGGCCGAATTTCTTCGAGCCCCCACAGTCCTCATTGGAAACGCTATTTCGGAAAGATCTCGGTCCACGGGTGCTAGCTGCTAGCTTGCTCAGGATTTTGGCGGCCACGCTGCCAAGCGCATCTGTGGAGAGGCCAACGAATGAATCGTCATATCATAATATCGGTGCCACAGCCCTCCTTAGCGAAGCTTGAACACATCTGGGAGTTTTAAAACAGGGGCTCTCATGTTCCAAATGGTAGGATCTTGAAGTACGGAGCTTGAACAAACGCAGCAACTCCCCCGCATGTCGGCTGCTCAACATTAGCGTATGGTTTGTCATTCTATTCACATACTTCGTTATTGTGAATGATAGTCTAATAGTACAGCATAGATTAGCATAGTCTTCTGGAGCATTTTGGAACGGGAGGAGGTGTGTCGGCATCACACAGTTCTTGATACCCAGAGTTGTCTTTTGCTTCGCGCACTTGTTTATGGAGCTTTTCTTCGTTTGGGAATGTCATACAGTATAGTAATAGTATAGTAGATTGAAGTTACATATGTTTTCTTCATTGGTTCGAGCACGATCCGGGGTGTGAAGTCCAGGCGATGCGAGCCGGATGCCTTGTGTGAAGATGGGATCTCTTGAGTGGCTGAGTTATATGGTTTTATCCTCGATGCATTGCTGCGATGAGTACGAGAAATCCTTGAATTTGCTCACTCCGACTCCTCTAGCTTCCTAGAGGCAAGAAAGAGGGCTAGGTAGATGTGTGGACGCATGCAAGCAAAATTCTGCATGCCTCCTGAGAAAATGCTTTGTTCTGGCATCAGTTTGCTCGGAAGGTGCCACTGAGGACTACACGAACGATTCGTTGGATCCTCAGTATCACCTTGGCGACTGCAGATCCTGTGTAGCTCCATTGGACCAAAGGTTGTTCGACAGTGATGAGGACCTAGAATCCACGGACAGCGAAGGCCCCAAGCATATTTTCCATCCTGTCGCTTGCGCTGCCGAGCAGCGGAGCCTGCGAGGCAGTGAAAGTCAGTGGGACTTCATTCATCGGAACATGCCTTCTCAGCCTCAGCCGACAGGCAGCAGCAGCTTTCTGACATTTTCGCATCGCTTTTCGCGTTTCCGCTTCAGCTTGCGATTCGCAGATCCTCAAGCTGCGCGGCGTGCTGCGCCCGGGCCCGGGGAGCGCAGTATACATACACACACACATATGTATATATATATATACATATATATATATAGATGTACTTATATTATGTATGTATTTATGCATGTATATACATGCATACATAGATACATACGCGTATACATTTTCGTACGCATGTTCGTGGTTGTGGATGCTCCTGGCTGCCCAGGATGCCCAAGTTCCGGCCCTTTGCTGCTAGCTTAATGCTGCAAGCGTTCGCAGTGTGACATGGAGCGGTGCGACCAAGCGCCGTGCCTTTGCTTGCAAGGCGCCCGGTGCCGCAAGTGTGCGTCCTGAGGCAAGAATGCGTTGTGATTGCCTCTGGAATGCTGGATTGATGCTAGCTTCCCCGTCTTGAGGCCTCTTCTGAAAGAAGCCTGTTTCTCAAATTGCAACATGTGGAGCAAAGTAGCAGCAAAGTGCCAAAGACAGAGGAAGCTCGGCGGTCGCAGAGCTGCATGTTCCTTTAGGTCAGTCCAAGCCGCCTTCGTCTACGACATCTTCACCTAGCGCAGGCTGCAGTCAGCCGCGGTTTGTTGTCGGGATTTCAGAGGCCCCGTTGATGAGCACGATAAGTAGCGCCGTCACGCCTTGTATGCCGAAGCGCTTGGCCCGCTGCGTACTGCTTTATGAATCGACACCTCGTCAGAATCGGTTTCCTTCAATTACAATGTCAGCCTTACCTCGTGCAAACTTTTTTGTGGACTTTTTAGGCTTCAGCATTTTGCAGGGTCGTTTGTTTTGCCATCGAGCAAAGAGGTAGACATGTCATCGCCCCAGAAAGAAAAATGGTAGCATAGAAAGCTCGCAACATCTGCAACATTGAAAGCCGCCGTGGCATGGCACATCCAGTGTGGTCTTGGGGATGTGTGTGGCTTGGGCTTGCCGTCTCCTTACCGCAGGGACAGGGGCAAAATGCAGTTGGAACTCTTTGCCTTCCAAGGCGGCAAGCGCCATTTCATCCGAGCCACTACCGCAGCCGAAATGCAATTTAGCAATACACTTTCAAGAACTAAGCGCGACGTCAGTAGTTTCGCTTTTTGATATCAAGCGTGACGTCATCTTCTAGATGACATTTTATACTACATCAGACTATACTAAAGTATATTTCACTGCCGTATATGGGAGTTTCCGAAAATTAGCGGTACCTTATCATGGGGTCCTTATAATAAGGATCCTACTATTTAGGGGTCCCCTAGTTTCGGAAACTCCCATATGAGCAGCACCAAGGCCTTGGGAGACCATTGAGACAGAGCATCGACCATAGCTCGCAGATCTCGGTGGACTCGGAGTCTACGGTTGATGATACTAATCCTGCATTACCCATACTGAGGAATAAACTGAATATACCATATACTATTCCCACAGTTTAGGGTCCTTAAGGCTATGCAGGGTTTATATCATCAACAATGTCTACATGAGGGTGGCTGAGGCCAGAAGCAAGGCAGTGAGGTGAGCTGTGACGCAGAGGTTTGGACCACTCCGCATTCGCGAGATTGGTGTACCAGAAGGGCCCTTCGTGGCTGGAGCCCAAGAAACCCAAGTCTGTTGCAGGCTTACGATGCTGCTCATCTGTAGGGTTTAGGGTTCCCTGAATTAAACCCTAAACTCTGAACCCTAATCCCTATAGGGTTTAGGGTTGCTTGCCAGCTGCAGCTACATTGGCCGAGACTTACTCTGTGGAGTTTAGATTCACGGAGCTTCGTTACCTGATCCCCCCGAACCGTAAATTGCAAACCAGACCAACTACCATGCCCCTTACAATCACATCCATGGCCATTGCTGGTACTGTTGCTAATGCTAACCCTAATCCGAGTACCCCCTGAACCCTAAACTCTAACCCTGTGTGGAGCCTTGCCTGCTTTGTGCGAGCGTGAGCGTCGAACCCTAAACCCTAACCCCTAAACCCTGAACCCTAAACCGAGTGTGAGCGCCGAAACCCTAAACCCCCTAAACCCTAAGTCCTAACCCTGACAACCCTCGACCCTCTAAAACCTGAACAACTCGACCACAGCGTAGCTTTGACTTCGCTGCGCTCGGCGCTATGGAAGCCGAGCGGCTCCGTGCAGCTAAAGAGCTGGAGGAGCCGAGGGGTCTGTTTGATTCATGTTAAGTGCACTTGCATGAAGGCTTTTTATAAGTACTAAGAATAAACCTCCTATATGTGCATTAAGGGTTGTTGTAAGTACTAAGAATGAACATCCTTATATGCCAAAAGGGACGACGAATGTTTGACTTTGGCTTTCAGGGCCCATCAGGATTTGGGGTTTCGGGTGCGGCGCAGGACTTCACTGCTCCACGCTTGCTTGGGCCAGCTTCAGGCCTACTTACGGGACAGAGGGATGGGCGGTTAAACTGTTTCTGCTTCTGCAGGAAAAAATTTCCAGTATCGTTCCTGTTGGGTCCATTATTCTTATAAGGCCCCAAACCTGTAACACCCCTGTGTCAGCAGAGGCTCACGCTGGTCCAGGATCCAGAATCCCGTGCAGTTTTTTGCATGCACACATCGGCGAGCGTGCACCGAAACGTAAAAACGCCTTGGGAGCAATTGTGGAAGTGAATGCTGCCACTTACAAGATGTCGGCCGCATGCCAGGTGCGGAAAGAATGTTTCTTGACTGCATTTAGTCAAAGGAATTTGTTTTTGCAACCGTGGCTCCTGAACATGATTCTATTACACTATATCCCCCAAGCCCAAAACTTTAAAGGAGGGTCATAAGGTTCCCATATTCCCTCCTCTTCTCTCTCTCTCTCTCCCTCTCTCTCTCTCTCTCTCTCTCTCTCTCTCTCTCTCTCAGTCTGTCTTTCTCTGCAGGTATGCGGTGGCCAGCAAGCAGGCCTTGATAAGAAAGGCCGATCCACAGGGCTATTTTGCGGGACTCTGAGCTTAAGAGAACTGGCATAATGGTGCTGCAGAGCTAGTTGCGATCCAGCACTGGAGACCCCCAATGCACTATGAGGGCATGTAATGATTATAATGGCTCGCAAAGCTTCTGCATATCTCGACGGCTCTCGACGTATTTGCCCAATCACGCCATCTTTGGTCCGCGGCGACCAGACTCGCGGCACTTCTCGGCTGCTGTTGTGCGGGCAGATAGCAGGTAGCCCACCTTCTCGCTCCCTTCAGACCTCGCCTCGGCTCCGGAGCCACAGACTTTCCTTGCAGCGACTCACACCGAACATCCAAGTAAGAGCGTCGCCGGCGCACAAGATGCCAGCCTCCTGCGACACCGCGAGGGCCTTCCGGTGGCATATGGGGCCAGTGCCAGAACCATGGTAATGGGCAGCAGTATGCCTCCGCAATCATTTGCAGGAAAAAGCTGTGAAAATCACAGTGTCAGATAATCTCCCTCACCTCAAGCCTGACGGAATTGGCAGGCCGCATCTAGCCCGCCACGAGCTTCTCCTTCCAACGTTGCCCAGAATTACGAGGACCGTTCCCCCCGATCACGAACCAAGGTTATCTACCACACACACCTTGGCTGCCTCGATCCACCTCTTGTTCAGACCTGCCGGGTGAATCTTCTGAGTCAGTGAGTGAGAGTCGCCCCTTGGCAGAAGGACGGGCACACGCGTTGTCTCCACCGTGAAGGGTTAAGATGCAATCGGGGCATAGGGCTCCGAAAACATCATGGCCCCTATGCAAGAGCATCCAGGGCCCGCCCCCCCAGCCAGCAGGGGCAAGCTAGCGGCTAGCGAGGGTTGGAAGCACACTTACACTTGGCAAGACAGCCCGCTTCACAGACCCAAAGCGGTTCCCGACATGATCTCTCATGAAGGTACTAAGCAAGGGACGCGCGCCGGCACGAAGCAAAGACTTTCACTCTACTGCCATATTTCCAGGGCCACCTCGAGCCATGGCCAATGAAAGGCCATCCCCTGCGATGTGGCAGCACCACAGGGTGTGCCCTCCGTGTGATAGCACGGTACCAACGAAAGTGTGGCACCGTCCCTATCAAGGAGGCTGGGGTGAATCTTCGGAATTCCTCAGCCGGGCATTTTGCCGATGGGTGCAGAAGTTCCCCCTGACACCGGCTCGTCGTCGAGGCTGGTAACTCCGGAGGTGCTCGTCGATCCATCCAACTCATCTAACGGTGTGTCTTGGGACTATGTCTGGCCAAGAAAATCTGCTGTGCACCTTTCTGTATATATGTCTATGTGTATGTGCATGTGTATGTACATGCACATATGTATATATGTATATATCATATATGGGTAATGTTATGCTACGCAGGCCATGTGCGTATACATATGTATATATACATATATGCATATATATATATATATATATATATATATATATATGTAGGTATGTATGTATGTATGTACCTACCTACATACATACATACGTACATACTACATACATACTACATACATACATACATACATACATACATATCTCTGTAAGCAAGTAAATATGCATGTATGTATGTGTGCATGTGTCTATATGTATATGTATACACATACGTATACATACACATACACAAATACATATGCATATACATATACATACATATATATATATATGTATATATTGATATTGTATGTGTGCAAATATTAACAACACACACACACACAGAGACACACACGGACACACACACACACAGAGACACAAACGGACACACACACACACACACACAGAGACACAGACACAGACACAGGCACAGGCACAGACACAGACACAGACACAGACAGACACAGACACACACACACACACACACACACACACAGACACACACACACACACAGACACACACACAGACACACACACACACAGACACACACACACACAGAGACACACACACACACAGACACACACACACACACACACACAGACACACACACACACACACACAGACACACACAGACACACACACACACACAGACACACACACACACACAGGCACACACACACACACACAGACACACACACACACACACAGACACACACACACACACAGACACACACACACACAGAGACACACACACACACAGAGACACACACACAGACACACACAGAGACACACACACAGAGACACACACACACACACACACGCACACTGAATGTTTACATGCACAAATGTGTGTACACATACATGTGCTCACACTTGAATACGATTTGTCTGTATTATGATTATGTGTTATTCTTTCCTTGGTTCCTGTTGCCAGGGCCCTGGCGCGGACCACATGGCCGTTGGCTGTTTGCGTCTCGGGATGCGGTTTCTAGCCCGCAAGGAGGCACACGCTGCCGACCGCTGCGCTTGCGTTGAGATTCAAAAGCCACCATGTCTGTGCATGGTTGAGATTGGAGACTGACGACAGGGTTCCTGGCTCCGACTTTGCCCACAACATGTGGCACCGCCACTCGCGCTGCTTGCTGTCATTTCGTGTGATGTGCCGTGGAGGCGCCTGGACTTTCTTGGGACTGCTCTTGACTGTGAAGCGAGGTCGCCTAGCGCTGCTGGCTTGCTGGTGAATGCCGAGGAGTCGCTGTGCCATGGCGGAATTTTTTATGCCAGTTGTGGGATGTTGGTGGTTGCTAGAGTGCTGCTAGATTCCTGGATGCTCTCTGCACCGGAAGAAGTGCAGACGATTTGGAGCCGATCGCACAACTCCAGGTGGGTGGAGGCTGTGGAGCCGACACTGCGCCCCTCGTGCTGCAAGAGATGCGTCCTGCAAATCCTTTTCAACTTCTGTCGCAGGCGCATTTCGAGCGACTAAGACTTAGGTCCTGTGCTTGAAGCCCAGCGAAACTTCGTCGCTGGGGTGCCATGATTGCAAATGCAGGTTTGTGAGATTGCGGCAGCGAGAACGTTAGGATTGTCAGTCTTGTCCTCGGCTGCCCGCCGCTACCGCCGCTACCGCTACTGTTGGAGCCATCTAAGGAAGAACTCCAAGTGTTGGTGGCTGAGCCCCTTGGCAGCTTCATTGCTGTCGTGCAGGTAGGCACGGGAACAGTGTCTTTGCAACAAGCGAACGAGCGACTCGTACTGACTCTGTCCTCCGGGCGTTGGATCCGGTTCGGGAGTTGTTGCGAGCAGCGAGCCTGATAGCAAACTCGAAACATGCAGCTACAAACGACCCGAGTAGGGTAGCTGTGGTCTTAGCTGCGGCTGGCATGGAAGGGAAGAGCAGCATCTCTGCCAGTTGAAGACCTCATGTTGCACGGGCATTTGCTCAGGCCGGGTGATTTCTTTGGCCACTGGATTTCAGCTGAAATTGCAAGCGATGGGGACTGGCCCAGTATGTATCATATCCTGGTCAAGGCGGGGACGCTGACGATGCGTCGGGAGAATGTGCCCATGTGGTACCTTCGCTGCTCGCCTCGAAGCAGTGCTTCTGTTCTCTTGTCATGGGTATGCCACGTGTTTGTGCCCATGCTCAGGGAAGCCCGACGAAGATGACTGGCACTGATTGCCCCAACTAGCTGGCATCGAGATGGATGTGACTCCGACAGAACCAGTGGCCAGAACTCAAAGAAGGAGGGCTCGGATGCGACTGTCGGACAACAAATCGATTACGGAGAGCCTCTGACCACCACGACCATTGACGACCCAATGAGTGCAGATGACCATGGCAACACCATCGCAGGTGTTGAGCCTCTGCACGAACTGTGGTCAGGTCATTGCGACATGCCAGCTTTTTGCCAAAGAGCTGGAAGGCAGACCTTGCAGCTTTTTGTGGTACCTTGCGGTACCATCGGGCGGTGCAAGATCGCACGAGTGGAGCGTGCTTGCCTGCTCTTGCTGCTGTTGCTTTTGGAGCTCTCTCTCAGAACCTTTCGCAACTCCGCGCTCTCCGAGGTTCTCATCCATGACAAGTCCCGGGCCGAAAGATCCTCTGCGAATTCGAGCTGCAGTGAGGGAATGACAGTAGCCGTCGCAAAGGCCGGACACAGAGTGCCGGCCCCAGAGAGCTTATGGTCTCTGTGTTGAGCCATGTGTAATGAAGCGAATGTTGGAATGGTCGTCCGAGACCTCGGCAGAATTTCTGCATAGTTCGCTGGCGCGCCACGCCTCTGCATCACATACTGTTCATCAGAGGTTCGTGCGAAATGAGTGGAACTCCCTGGCCGTGCAGCTTGGCGCCGCTTCCTTCCACGTGCTGGCCGGCCTGGCCGGATTGCTGAGGGATCGTGGCGGTAGTGGGAGTGGCACAGTAGATGCAGCTTGAAGCCGACGGTGTCAGATACCTGACCTGCACTCCGCTCCGGAAGTGCTTAGACCCGGAAAGTTGACGGGGGAGGCTCGGCACGTGCATCGACACTTCGCGTCTTCGTGTCTTTCGCAAAGTCCGGATTGGTTCCGTCATCTGTGCCTGGGACAGACTCTTCGCGAAGTGTTCGCCCGGACGTCCGAGTCTGAGTGTCCCAGGTTCAGTCTTTGATCTGCAGTTTGAATCGCCTTATAAGGCTGTGCTCACGGAATCGCATGATTCCTGCGCGGTATCATTCCGTGATCCGGCGTCTTGGCGCTTCAGATATACACGCTGGAATCTAGAGAACCCAAGTTTCAAGCCAATGTAGGAGGTCTGAAGAGAGTTACGCATGCAATCCCAGGCCGAAGGCCATCGTCATGGGGTCGTCGTGGGGGGCCGATATGGCAGCAGAGGCCCCCTGCTTTCCTGTCGGATGCCGGCTGAAATGCCGCTGAGATGCCATGTGCTTAAAGGTGGCAGCGCTGGATGATGTCGTGGCTAGGCCCCTAGGCGCTCGGAAAGTCTTGTCACCTTGAGTAAGCAGGGAAGCTCTAGGGAAAACGCGAGAGACTCTAGAGCCCAGTGATGGTTGGAGATCCCAGGCAGTGGCCCTGGTTACCCCGCAGATAGGCCAAGTGCTCTCCTGACATTTGCAAAACGGTGCCTCGTGACAGCTTCATGGCCAGAAGCGAGGGCAAGCCGCGCAAAGCCACACAAAGCGTCAGGTGCGGAGCACCTTCGGTCACTTCAGAACATCCAAGGTCGAGTAGTCATCTCAGACCTTGCACCCCTGAAAAGTTTGAGCCTTAATTAGGTTCGCTTAAAGAGTTGCTGTGCAGGAGCAGCTGAGGAGTTTTCACATGCAGGGTAGAGAAGGCCATCGGCTCCGGACACAAGTTGCAAGTTTGCATGTCCTCGCCGCAGCACACTGTCCAAGCACTGTTTCCGTGTTTGTGTACTTGGCATCTCCAACAGAGTTGGAGAGCGTCGTCAGTGGTCACATGACCTGAGCATTTTTGCACACTCGCCTGCCTTGACAACCTAGCAGGCTAGCAAGGCTGAATGTACATGTTTCATACATGCACAGACTTAGCGAAGCGTTGCTGCGACAAGAACCCATCGGCGGCCAGGATTGAACTTGAAGCTTTGCATTCTTGCTCGTTTGCCATGCCCGGCCAGTCGTTCCAAGAGCACACGACATGACGCTTGGGCTGCACCTGCATGGCTGCAAGTTCCACGTTTCTAAGGTTATGAGCAGTCACTAAACATAGCTGCTCTTTGGTCGGTGGGCTCAGCATTCGCTGCACCTGTCCTGATGCACTGACGAAGCAGGTTCCAGCAATGGCAATATGCTCTGGAGCAAAGGCGGGAATTCGCAACAGAAGATTCTCTGAGATGATGAGTGACAAAGCCGAGTTGGGACTCTATTGAGCCGTGTATGTTTCTTGTCCATGACGAGCGGTGAACTGGCTGTCAGGTGCAGATGGTAGTGACTATTCCGACTGAGCTTAGCAAAGCTTTCGTTGCTTCGGTCTTGCTCCGTATACAAAAATGCGCGTCGCCGAGTCAACAGCCCATAGCCGTGCAGGTTCCGGAGAAAACATTGTGCCAGTTTCGCTATTATTAACTGGAAAATTGCCTCTCACTCCTTCGGCAGCATGGCGTGCAGCCCAGGATCATTATTCTATGTGCTATGCTCCGGCACTTGTGGGTGGAGGTTTAGGCCCTACTGGAGGCCATCTGCAATGTGATGCAGGCTGGGTGGTGGGGATCTGAAGTGAGGGCACCGTTCGCCAGACGCCATACTGCATTTTGGAGCAGCTCCCCGAACGCCCTAAACCAGAAAGCTTGTGGAGCTCTGGTTTTGCGTTCTCTGGGGTCCATGCAGTTTGGAGTTTGGATTTCCGGGTCCTCGCTGTCGTACTCAAATTCTCTCAGATCCTCACCCGGCTTTTCCTGATCGCGACTGCTGAAACCCGAGACCCGAGACCCTTTGGCCGCGCCTGGAGACTGAGAGCCAAAGCCCCCAAAACGGACCTGTCCAGCAGGCACCTACTTCTTCACGGAGTCGCCCAAGTCGGGCACTCACAGGAGCCTCATCTCCTTTCGCGATGCAAAACACGGCAGGACCTTCTAACGGAAGAAGCACTGGTTCTGACCCGTGGTAAAAGCACCCCTCCGATGCGATGTACTAGCCGCCGACTGCCATCGTCTCTTTGCTTGAGGTTCTGCTGCAACAACCCCCGCATCGACCTCAACGGCTCGACAGTGCTGGCGAAGAAGCTGGGTTCTTCGAACTTGGTCGGGTTGAAGGAGTTTGGGGTCTAGGATTTGGCTTTGGGGTTTGGGCTTCTGCCTTGGGCTCTCCCTCGTTTCGGGTCTTCGGTTAGGGGTGTCATGGGCCGCAACGGTGGGGCTGAGACTGAGCCCGGAGCAAGGAAATCTCAACTTTGCGGCGACATTCTGGCAAACTTCAATGAGAACAGCCAGCAGATCAAGCAGCTTGGCTGAACAGCGGGCAAAACCCATGATTCTGCCAAAAGTGTTCATGATTCTGGGACATCAGAGCGGCTTAGCCGGTCGTTTGGAAGAATTGCGCCAGGTTTGTAAGAGGTCCGGCGGCCAATGCCACGCAGGCACCGAGGGCCATGGCCATAGAATGATGTTGTGTAATATAGTGTCAGTATCATTCAGTAGTCACTGCGACTAATGTGATTGCTCGTGCAATTAGTATTACTAATACGATGACGAACTATGATTAGTTAGATTGTAGCATAAACAGAACTTCGCCGCGTCTGCTGCCTCAGCCCACGTGCAACGAGCTGCGGCCCCTTCCCAGCCCGACTTGCAGGAGCAGCTAGACGTGCTGGCGACGGCTGGACGTGGTGTACCTCGGGTCGTTACAATCTGTTTGTAAGCTACCTTACACTTACACTACCCTACTGTAACGTACTTCTTGTAGGTTCACTCCAACATGCAATTTGTAGGGACCCTACCCTTACATAGGTTTTGGTAGCTGAAGGTAGATGCATGATAACTGCACTTACGGATTACAGGCCCAGCATTTGCACACTGAATGTTTGTTTCAAGTGCGACTTCAACAAGCCACAATCTGTACGCAGACCGCGTCTTGCAAGGACATGGTCCCTACTGCCGTCGGGTTCAAGGCCGTCAAGAAGGACGCCGTCTTATGCCTTCGTACTGCAGTGCTTGAGGCAGTGTCAGCCCCTCGTCCAACTCATAGTGATCGTCCGTGTCAACTCATTTCAGTCTCAGCGGAGGACGAAGAATGGCAACGTGTAACGCAAGCGATTTGCCGCCAAGCTTGAACACAGCGTTTAGTGAAGTCAGGTATGTAAGTATCTTTGTATTGTAAGGCCGGGGCGATCGAGCCACGCTCATCACCTGGACTCACGACGGCAAGGACTTGTAACTGACTTGTAGGGTTTAGGGCCTAAAGTTTAGGGTTTGGGAGATTGTAGGAGAGAGACGAATCCATTCATTGCACCTCGAGGAGGACGAATCACAGAAGGCGGAGCTTTGTCCGACAGGAACTGTTCCAGTCCAGGGAAGGCCCGACACTCCAGCCGTGCGTAGTGTCGTAGTCCTGGTAGCAAGTGGGTGGTTGTCAAAATGAGGGTCCCTTTTTGGGTCCCTGTTATAATACGGCACCTAGTATTTAGGGCACGCAAAAAGGGACCATACTTTTGACAACTCCCAAAGTCGCCTTGCTTGCTTGACTTTACTTGGTGGCAGGGGGTACATGTCCTTCGCGTGCGATGGCCATGTCATCAAGGAGAGGCGCTACCATTGCTGCAACGTGAACGGCCAACTGTCTCCCGGCAAAAAAAGCCCCCTTAAATACAACTCCGTTGCCCCCGTAGGGAACAAGGACGGAGCAAGGTTCTTTGTGAGCCCAGGCATTGCTCCCCGAGTCTGGTGGATGCGACATCCATGGACCCACCATGCTGCTTATCAGCTTTTACTTTGGTGAATTGGTCTTCCTTGTGAGGCAGGTGAAGCAGCAGCGCTGGCTATGTGGAGCTTAAGCAAGTCTCTGTATAACCCTTAGGCGGCCTGAGAGCTGAATTTTGACGAATGTAAGCCGAGGCGACTGCCACCAGAATGATGTGGCTGCGGTGAAGGCATTCCGATCTTGATTCGAGCTTCTTGTGTTACGGTTTGATGCATTCATGAAGAAGCTCATGCACAGCTTGGTCTAGGAGAGCAGCCTCACCTTTCTTCTGCCTTTTCTTGGCCATCGGAGAAAGCGGCGAGCGAAAGCTCAAGAATTTCTGTGAGCAGAGCCTGACCCAGCTTCTCTGCAGCACCTCGATGTCATGAGTCGATACGGAACTCCAAAGAAGAGAGCCGTGCAGACATCCTAACAAGGCAGTTAGTCGTCGTAGCGCGGTTCACTAGGACCTGGTGTGCATCCCATGAAGGGAAGGCTCCCAGGCGTTGTGGACGCGAGTGGAAAAAAGGGCAGGTTTGCGGCATCTCGCGGCATTTGTGTACGAAAAGAGTACCATTGTAGGGTACTATTTAATTACTCCACGGGCACTACACATACGGGTACTTCAGAACCGTCTGGCATTCCACTTTGAGCTCGAGAGATTCGCGCACAGTGCTGTGCGGAAAACCGATGCAGTGACGGCTTCGGTTGCGTCCGAGGTTGCTGTCGCATTGGCAAAAACTTCCCCTTCGACAGACGGCAAGGTGCTGGGCTTTCGTTGAGCACAAGTTCGTGTAGCGAGGAGAAATGAGGAGAACATGGATTGCCTGCAGCCAGGTACTTGACCTTGCCAGCGCCAAGCAGCAGATCGAGTCAGCGGCGACAGGGTGTTAACCTCACGGTCCTGCCTGCGGCGGCGTCTTATGAACTCGGTTTAATGCTGCAGCGCCATTGCACAGGCTCGATATTCAGTGGATCGAAGCTGACGCTGACAGACATGGGGTTATCTCAAATTTCGCCGGGATCCTACTCCAGAAAGGTAGTGCAAAGAGTTCCAGCTTGGCCTTCCACGCTCAGGAGCTGCCCCTGGTGGAATTCGCGGAATCCGCACGTGCCTGGCCTCAGCGAGACGATTCCTTGCCGTCGACACGTGTACAAGCATCAAGCCAACTCTCTAAGCGAATAGAAAGAACAATGCTGATGATTAAAAAACCCTAAGTAATGGCACATGGAGCCTTGACGGGTGTTGTAAGGAGAGCTCTTCGTTCATGGTGGTGAGCTTTAACACCCGGAACGTCGGCTGGTCTCGTTGGCACGGAGAGCCGCGACAATGCAGCACACTGATGTCAAGGTGGCACAAGTCCACTCCCGCCTTTCGGTCAAAAGAACGCGCAATCTTTGCATGTTGCACTGGGAAAGGCCCATTTCATGCTTGCAGGTATCCTTCGCCTGTTTAATTGTTTGAGGTGCTACTGTGGTTGATGTTCTGTAGTTGACGTATTCTGGCCATTGTGTGGGGTCCATGAAGGCATAAACAGTTCCATGCCGCGAAGAAAAACAGTCAGCAACAGAAGCTGCGGAAAGAAGCCACCGCATCCCTTTGACACGGTGCAAGACCGATCGTCAAAACTGTGCAGGGGGAGCGCCGTGCGCAAAGCTCTGCATGTGCGATCCCAAACGGTTCTTGACTACACGTGTGGAAAATCTTAGTAGCTGAGTGGATACACTTTGCACTTCTTCGGATATTAGCCGCTATAAAACTGAAAGTGTACACTTTTTGGGGCTTATGAACTCAGCAACCAAGAAATTGATAGAGGTGCACAGCCAGGATGCTGACTTCCGGCCCCCTAGAGGGACCGATACGCATTATGTACTATGCGTTGCATTACGGATACTTATACAAACATATGAACTTGCTGCATTATGCATTCTATGTTATGTGTTGCATATGTATGTCTGTGTTTTTATACATTATATATATATATATATATATGTATGTATGTATGTATGTATGTATGTATATATATATATATATATATACATATGTATGTGTGAGTGTATGTCTGTATGCGTCTGTATGTGTGTGTATACATATATATATATATATATGTCTGTGTTTGCATCTGTCTTATGTGCTATTTTACTATATGCTGTATTGTGTATGCATACAGTATATATGTATACATGTGCTTATCTCGGTGGCGATAGCGATGGCAAGCATCTCCGACCCATCGACAGCTGACGAACGATGCCGAAAGCGGCAGCGCGAGCCAGAAGCTGCTGGGTTCAAACAAGATTGAGAACTATGTGCTACCACATTGTATAGCACAATGCATACAAGATGTGATTGCCATTTTTGTCATACCTACTGTATGTAAGACTGCATTAATTATACTGTATTGTGGTTTATGAATTTTTCCATAATATTGAGTTCTACTATAGTATGTTTCATTATGTGGCGCTGCCAAGCGAGAGCGACACATGTGCTTCATGATTGCATTGCGTACGGTACCTTTGGTAACCTGAGTATTCCACAGACCGTGCCAGCACGAGATAGTCAGGAGCCGCCGACAGACAAGGTGGAACAGGGCAAGTCAGAGCTGGAGGAGTCAGAGCCGCATCGAGATCCATCCTTCGTATAGCATCGGCGAACGGTAGCAGGAGCGCCGACTGCGAGTCTACTGCTCCGGTCATTCTCTACCCCTCAGCGTCACACTTGTGACGGAGGCCGGCTGGCAGCCGAGACCTCGCTCGCGTGAGAGAGAATATGCGAGAGTCCAGAAGCTGAGGTGTCTGCCCCTGGACTTGGTAGACATGGCCTTGCAGGCCATCTCTGGCCGGCTGGCAAGCTGCTGGTGTCCCGGAAGCAGTGGAATGTACTCCCTGTGTGAAGGATGACCTTGTGTCCACGTAGTTTTGCAGTTGGAGTGACAATCTGGCGAGGCCGAGCTTTTGCTGAGACCTCTACCTTTGGGGCAGGCTTGATTGGGCATTGCGTTTGGTACATCAGGATCGCCACATGCTTCGGTCCTGGGAACTTGCATGGGTCTTGCACAAGTCTTGCCTGAGCGCGCGCGACTGCCGAGTTTCTGTTGCAGTCCGTGCCTTTGCAAGGAGTTGGCTTTGCTGCTGTCCCAATCCGCACGCATCCTGGACACTTTCCTCGACTTCGACAATCAGGGTGTGCATGTTCGTTCGGATGAACGGCTGCATGCACGGGTATGAGTGAAGCAGATGTAAGTAGGTGGGTGAGTGAGGCAGACAGCACCAGCACGCATGCACACGTGGGGCAGGCTGGGAGGTGATGATTACATAGCAGATGCTCTCCAGATCCCTCAAGCATCAACTTGACGGATGGCAAAGATGGATACCCAAAGCAAGCAAGGCAGCACGATAGTATAATCTACCACCAAAACCCTATTCAAAAACACTAAAGCCCTAAACCCTGTGTGAGCGCCGAAACCCTAACCCTACACCCTAAACTTGACACAGCCTTGCCTGCCTTTTGCGAGTGTGAGCGTCGAAACTTGACACATGGGTGGTTGTCAATATTATGGTCCCCTTTTTGGGTCCCCATTATAATACGGCACCTAGTATTTAGGATGCTAGTACCCAAAAAGGGGTCCTAATTTATGACAACCACCCGCCTGGGTGCACGAAATTCTGCCGTGGGTTCGGGCTTGGGCTGGCGAGGAGCTTGGAGCTGGCCCTGCGCTGCCGAGTATTTGTTACTCGCCTTGGTTTGCGGGAGGGGAGAGGGGTATAGGGTTTAGGGTTTAGAATAGGTGAAGCTGAGACAAATGGTACATGGATAGTATTTGTTACTCGCTTTGGTCTGGGGGAGCGGAGGTTTAAGGGTTTAGGGTATAGTGTTTGGGTGAGTGTTGCAGCCAGCAGTGCTGCAGATTTGCCTGGCCCTCAGTTTCCTTTCTTCAGGGTACCCGGCAGTCGCAATAGGCCTGGATGCAAAAGGGTATAGGGTTTGGGCATTTACAAGTCTGTGCAAACAGGGTTTAGGGTTTAGGGATTGTTTAGGGTTTAGAATGGGTGAAGCTGAGACAGATGGTGCATGGATTGTTAACTGAATCGAGGTCTGAGCTGCATTGGCCACGAATGTGGCTTCGATTCCATTGGCGCGTCGCTGAGTCATGCGAGACTTACTGACCAGAGCGATGCCCCCATCGAGGTATCGCCACAGATCTGCCTCAGGCGAAGTGCCGAGTTCATCATTATCCTAGCAGTGTCTGCAAACACAGAACCCTTGATTGGTATGATGCGTAGCTCTGCCTTTTATGAGTGATCTGCTCACACTTTCTCGCGGCTGTAGTGGAGATACTATGGACTATGTGAAGCCTTGCCTGCCTTGCGCGAGTGTGAGCGTTGAACCCTCGAGGATCTCAGCGCCCTTGCATGCACTTTTCCCGACCAAGCCAAGCCTGAGAATCTTGAGACCCCTGATCGGGCTTGCCCGAACGTGAGAGCGTAGCTTACCTTTGGTTAGAAGGGATTGGAAGAATGCAATAGTAGCTATAATTATACCCCATTCCTCCATGCCCTACTAACCAAAGGTAAGGTAGACCCTCCGGGATGCGACAGGCCATACCCATGCTGACAGCGAATGCCAGCGCCAATGCAGCAGCGATCCAGCAGAGTGGGGGCCGATTGGCCCCTTGCACGCATGCAGGAGTCTACTTCATGTTGCCTCGTGCTATTGTTATGTCTTTTTCTGTTCATTGTTTTCTTATGGGCGTTATAACTGATGCTTCTATTACTAGTCATGAGTCATATTGGTAATTTCCATTTGTCGAAATAATATTGCTGCTGTTACTCAGCACTGTTGTCATTGCTGTCTTCGTTGTATTACTACTATATTATTGTGCTGATAATATTTGTTATTGTTACTGCTTTTGCTCTTGTTAGAATTACTACTATTGCTACTTGTATTACTGTGCTTCTGAATAGAGTCATTGTTATTGCTAGTATTACCATTATTGTGTTCCTTTCATGTCTATGACTATTATGATCATGGTTATGATTAGAATTTATTTTTGCGGTTGCTACCATATTGCAGCATACATCTATATACACATACATAATGCCGCGAAACCTCTGTCTAATCACTGTTTCAAAGCATGCTGGCAAGATGCCTTGTGCTGAGTCTGAGGCTCAACTGGTACCCTCACTTCCCTTCCTTTGTTCTTACTTAGGCTGTTCTCCCTCTTGACCTCGGTGATGTCAGCACAGCACCAGACGTGGCAGCTTTGCTGCACCATGGCGATGTCACGGGCAGAGCTTCATACTCTAGTCCAACAGCCGGCTAAGGCCAATCATTTCGATTTGGTCATTGCATCGGATATTTGCTACGATCCTGTGTGCTGGTTGCAAGAAGCTGCGGAAGCCACGCCTACAGCACCGGTTCCCACGTTGACAGGTGTTGTACACCCCATTGCTGGCAACGCTGCGATCCCTATCTTTTAGACACTTCCTCATCGCAACCTGGCGCCGGTCAGTTTCCTAAAGAGAGCACTGCCGGAAGAGGATGCAGGCTTTGCCTGTGCCCTCATTGTTCCAGTGACCGGCAGTGCAACGATTGAGTTGTTTGCCGGCATGGTTTGTCATGGTGTAGCTGTCTTCCGCGAGGCTTAAGCTTGTAGTCGTTGCCAGGACACCAGCTCCAAAGGAGAACTTGGTGAGGTCTTTTGTTTCTCCGCTGTTCTGGCACCCCTGTGCACAGGTGCACAGCGTGATTCCGTCAGGATGCCTTACTCTATACTGCCCATGCGGCATTGAGCTACCTTCTACTCAGCCATAGTCTTCCATACGCCGGCACTGCACAAGGATGTCAGAATCCTTCCAAGTCGAGCCAAGTTGCTGCGGAGCAGCACATTGGCCCTTCTTTCCACCGGCTCTGGGACTCGCGTAGCAATGCCGCTGGATGTGCACATTACACTTCCGGAGGAAGTTCGGCTCTTACCCGCGCAGCTTGGCACTGCAGGCTTTTTTCAGTCGATAGGCTTTTTAAGAAAGTATGATATAACAAACTGTAGTATGATGTAGTACGGCAATGTAGTATCATATATTATAATGAGCAAGTCGTGGTTGGCTGGCCAAGGGCGGCAATATCGCAACTGCCTACGCCATGGCCACGATGTCAGGACATCCGCAGCTCGGAACGCATTCGAGCTGATCTGAGGATGCTTCATTACAGTACATGATACTATACTGTACCATACTAGAAGTACCATGCCTTACTCTATGCCATACCATACTCTACCGTGCTGTACCATACCATACAGTGCTATACTTTCTTGCGCAACACGGAACCTCTATACTGTAGGATACAAGAATATACTAACCTACATTATGCAATGCATGAGTATAATGTATACAAGGACTCGGAACAGCGCTGATGCAGAGCTGCTCGGAACCCGAGGTTTCCTCCACGAGGAGCCTGCTGCAGGAGATTCCCTGGTTGTCGTCTCACAGTCCCGTAGGTGTACTTAGAAATCGTTTTTTAAATTTTGCATTCCTATAATCCGTAGGTGTACTTAGAAATATGTTTTTGTTCTGGTTTTTGTAATCCAAAGAAACAGCTGAAATTTTGATTGTTGCTAGGGGTCTTAGTCCAGTATAGGTCCTGGTCCCATCAGATGCATCCGGACCCCACGGGTGTGAAGGCTGGGAACAGTTATGATACATGGGGTTAGTACTGTACTATATTGCTATACCATGCGAATAGTGCATTCGCTGTACATCTGACGCTGCAGTGCGGTGCCAGGCTGCCGCCATCATCGGGCTTCTGAAGAAAGTTGTGAACTCGCCGGCAAATATGGGCGCAATTTGTTCTCATTTTCTGCTTCTCTCGCCATGTCTGTGACGGAAGTGGTTAGTAGAAGGGGATTTTCCAAAGCCCAGAAACCTGAAAGCCGCGTCTCGTGAAGCCTTGCCTGTGCTGTGCGAGTCGAAAGCCCCGCCCGACCTAAAGCCACACAAGACCAGAAGCCAAATTAAGCCCTAAACCCAAAAGTCCCATCGTACACTCAACCCGAAAGCCATTAAACGCCCTAAAAGCCTCCCATTCAGTCGCAGTCCCTCAACCCCTAACCACGTTTGCAACGGTTCAGTCTTGTAGATGAGAAGCCCTCTAAAGTGTCAAACTCTGGTGCAACTGCAACGGCGACCTCGCCTTGCGGGCGTCGTCCTGGCCATGTGAGAGGGCAAACCTCCAAACCCGCCTAAACTATTCGGAACCCAAAAGCCGAAGAAGCCCTTCTAGTGGTTCTTATAGTCGCCCTTAAAGAAGGAGCCCCTTATAGTAGTACGTATAGTAGTACGTATAGTCGCCCTTAAAGAAGGAGCTCCTTATAGTAGTTCTTATAGTCGCCCTTAAAGAGCCCTCTTACAGGAGTCTCGAACCCCTCGAGACCATCAAAGCGGCCTTGCAAGCTCAGGCCGTCAAGCTCCGAGCCGAGGGCCGGCTCCTTGTTTTTTGCGCCACTCAGCCGCGGGACTTGGGGGTTTGAGGGTTTTTTTCGGGTTCCTTGAATACTTAAGGTCTCTAGAAGGATGTAAGATCTCGAGAAGGTTTTTTCTGGTTTAGGGGTTTTAGGGGTTTAGGGGGGCAGTTCATGAGGATCTTTCAAAGGATACCTACACAGGGTATATGATTTTTTGTGCGAGAGCCGAATGTTGTGTCATATTAGGATGCTGGAGTCATGAAGATCCTACAATGCACATTCATTCGATCGGACTTTTTCGATAAGAATCACCAAGTACATTATTCCTACTGGCAGTAAGGAAGCTCCTAATTTACCGGAGCGGGCCCTAAACCCTAAACCGATCTCAGGACTTTCTGTCCATGCCCCAGCCGCCAACACAAGCCGACCAGGAGAGTGGAAGCTGTCTGCCAAGTCGCATTGCATACGTTTTAGGGTTTAGGGTTTAGGGTACTGTAACTAACTACCACAACCTGTTTTTTGGTGGGTTCCTGCTACATAGCGTTTCTAGGGGTTGTAGTTCAAAGTAGGGGCATATACATCGGGGACTCGCGCACTGATGCGACAAGTGCCGCAAGCCAAGAGGGAGTTTCCGAAACTGGGGGACCCTGATATAGTACCCTATATAGTAGGATCCTTATTATAAGTATTAATCTTAATATATATATATATATATATATATATATATACGTATAATCTATTATAAGGATCCCCAAAAGAAAGTACCCTAATGTTCGGAAAATCCCAAGAAAGCAGATCGAAAGTCGTCTTCGCCCATTTCTGACCCAATCATCCTTGCAGTCGCTTGCAGCATACTAAATGGGAGTTTCCTAAAATTCGGGGTACCTTATTTTGGGCCCCTTACTATAACAAGGATCCTACTTTAGGGTCCCCTGTTCCCGGAAACTTCCAAATTGCACCACATTATTTTATGCAAGGCTATGCCAAACTGTAGTATACTACGATTGATGATATAAATCCTGCATTACCTTAAGGCCTTAAGGACCCTAAACTATGGGAATTATGGCATAGGAGTTCGGAGTCGTGAGGGCAGGCTTCTTGGCGAGGCTTTCAGGTAACTTTGGGAGTTGGCGGGAGAAAGTTAAAGTTGGACCAAGGATGATCCGACTCGATCCTGCCAGTACCTTGTCACCAGCTGAACCATGTAAGCTTCTCCGAATGGGATGGGCTTTCTGTGTATCACAGGAGCCGTGGACAGAGAAGGACAGTGCTGCAGTGCTCGAGGCAGCCACAACTTTTTAAGTCATTGAACGAGTGGTGGGCTATGTCACATCATAGCTTGTGTTGGGCCTGCCTGCTTTCAGCGTGGCAGTTCTTTTGTCAGGTCATGCAGGCGCTACCGCAGTTGATGTTCAAGGCCGATGCTGTTATCCACGTCAACAGCTCTGTCACGAAGCTGGTCATGGGGGAGGGAGCATCCTGGCGGCACGCCCCGTCACAGGTCCAGATCCCCCATTCTGCTATCTTGCTAGGCTTTTTCAGGGCCTGGGCTGGCTTTGGCAGTGCATTGAGGACATATGGACTGAAGAGCATGACAGCTTGCTGTAGAGCTCAGGAGAAGTTCAGCACGACCCTGAAGGAGCTCTGGCCACACAGTGTGCTTCGAGCTGATGAGGGCGCGGGAATGGCCCAGACTTTTGCCTTGTGCCAGGAGCTTCAGAAGAACTGTCGGCTCCGGCAAGTTGGTAATGTGGTGCAGGCCCTCTGGCTTCCGACAGTATATGCTTTCTGTTTTTGTATGAGAATGTATGAGATGTCCCCGGTGTCGCATGAATACAGCCCTGCAGCACTTGCAGTTTGACCCGTGCTGGAGCCAACTCCTTGATCGCAACTTGCAGCTCTATGAAGAGTTCGGCCCTAAACTCCTAAACCCCTAAAGGCCCAAACCCGAAACCCCTAAAGATCGCAACTGCAGGTCTATGAAGAGTTCGGCCTGTTGGACAACAGCTTCAATGGCAACAACTCTCCATACAGCGAGAGGCTCAAACTTCCTGCATATTCACCCTCACCAGTTCCTTTGAACGTTCCAGCTTTGCGTCAAATCTTGCCAAGTGCGGGAAAACTGTGTAAAAACATATATGTTTAGGTGCATAGCTTTTATTCATTTATAGATAGATAGATATAACATATAATATATGCTGTATATTTAGAAAGGAGTAAGAGTGAGGCATCTCGTCACCTGGAGTCGCGGAGCTTTTTCCAGAGCGTGCCAGACAACCGCGCTGCTTCGATCAGCCACTTGATTGTCATAGTAGTAGTAGTAGTAGTAGTAGTAGTAGTAGTAGTAGTAGTAGTAGTAGTAGGCAATCATTTTGACAATGCTGATATGGGAGTTGGTGGCAGTTGTCCTGAGTCTTGCATCGCACATCCACACCTACAGATGTCAATTCGTCTTCCATCGTTTCATGGGTGCACGTTGAAGCCCACTATGACAGCTGGGAATGCTCGACCCTTGCTAAGAAAGGTCTGAGATTTCCTATTGTCCAATGTTTCGCCAAGATCCTTAAACCCTAAACCCTAGCAATGGGCCCCAGAAGCCGTGCCTGCGATTGTGCGAGTGTGCGAGTCGAAACCCTAGCAGCTAGGTACATGCCTCGCCTGGATTCTCCGAGTGTGAGCGCCGAAACCCTAGCAGCTATGTAGGAGGGAAAAACAGCAGCAAGCCTGCAACGAACTGGAACGCCTCGCCCGGATTGTGCCCAAGCTGTGAGAGTTGAGACCCTACGTTGCCGAGTGTGAGCGTCAACAAACCCCTAAACCCTAAACCGCCGTTGACTACATGCCCGATTATGTAGTGGAGATTCTGTGGACTATATGGAGCCTTGCCTGCCTTGTGCGAGTGTGAGCGCCGAAGCCCCAAGCCGCCGTCGGACTGAGGGTGGTGCTTCGTAGGGCATGGGGGAATGGATCCCTATTGTAGTCCCTATCTAATCCCCAATAATCGTCTCCATGATCCATTCCCCACCCTAACCCC